CGTTCTGGAGAGTTTCGGAGGTTCTTTTAAGGATTTGGGATTCGGTCTTGGAGGTAGTGACAATGACGAAAAGGACCAATAGGGATTGTGGGATATCGAGGAGTCAGGCGTATTATTCAGAGTCAGTGAGTAAGGGTTTAAGAGTTGCGTGACTAATTGTGTACGGAAAGATGACGGGATTTAGTTTGGAACATAAAAATATTGATTATTTCTAGAGTGATAAAGATACTGACTAATCTAAAGAAATAAAAATATTGATTAACCTAAAGCGATATCCAACACACCATACTTCTATCGACTGAAAAGGGGATAGCTAGATAAGGAGGTCAAAAGTGCCTTTAAATCAAATTAATCAATGAACATAGTAGGCCTCTAGCATCTAGCCGCTAACCTTACTTGAAAGGTAGTTACAGGGCGAAACGCAATTTATAGTTTCAGCTTTATATCTTTTGTTGTACTGTACTGAAATTTCAAAAAAGAATCAGCGATAATCTGCTCTATGATATACGCGTTTGTGAATTTTTCTAGAATTTTTAAACGCGAAATGAATTTTTAAAAAATTAAAATAATAATATAACCACATATCAAGTTTTGACTTTCGCAACATTCTTTCACCATTTCAAAAAAATTGAAAAAATTATAGCAAAGCACGTTTGTCGTAAAGATATAAACGTGGCCACTTGTTAATTTTTATTAAACAAAAAATTTTTAATTTTAGAATTTTTTAAAAATTCATTTCGTGTTTAAAAATTCTGGAAAAATTCACAAACACGTATACCATAGAGCAGAATACCTTTGACTTTTCTTAAAACTTCTGTGCGATACAGAAAAATATGTAAGTTGAAACTAAATTGCGTTTCGCCCTGTGACACCCTTCAAGTAGAGTTAACGGCTTGATACTACCCAAAACTGATTTCCTATGAAATTGATATGTTGTACTAAGTAATATGTTAATTGATTAATTTATCCTTTATCAAAGAAAGCATGTTACTAACTTGCCAGACTCCACAGTATTCTATGGTTTATTCCATCGCGATATTGTACCATGTCCGTTCGGCATTTGGTCACATTGAGTTGTTCGATACCATAGGTCACTACATAACCGGGCAAATTATCCAACACTGCTAAGTCTGATGTTATTCCGTCAATCAGTACACAAAAATACGTCAGCATTATTATCCCGATCCACTTGTACTTCATGGTATGAGTAACTTAGTATTTTAGTTGCTCAAGTGAAGTTCACGTTCTTCGTTTGTCCATAGAGTTTGAGTAACGTCGCTGAAGCTTGTTAACACTGAATTTTACTTCTGGTGTGGATCTGTGTTGAATCGGATAAGAAAGTATGGTCACGGAATGACCGACACGTTGAAAAGCGAATCATAGAACTTAAATGAAGAATAAGCTGCCGTTCAGGCTTTATATCATCAACGTTGTTATGAACCTTATGTTTTATGTATATCTATATGTTAGCTAATATGTTAGCTAAAAAAGAAGAATTCGAGACAGAAGCAAATATGTCCCCTCTTTTATGTATGAGCGTAGCGTGACGTGCGTTGGGTGAGCGGAGAGATAGTCTTAACTTTATTTGCATCAGAAGATTCTTATAAACAGCACGCTCAATAAGAAACAAGAGCTGCAGTGAATGAACTTATTCAGTGTTTGTCGAAATTCTTTCACAATACCTATATCTTTTCAAATATGTTTTTCTTGATATCATCATTGAATGAATCTTTTAAAAGACTATGATGCTTATTTATCTTCTTTTGATTTTCCTTCCATTCCATAAATATTAATGAAATACAAAACATGAATTGGTATTGTAAAGTACTTGTTTTGCTACAGTTGATGAAGTGACTATGAGCGGGAAAAAATAAATGTAATCGTCAAACGGATTTATATACTTTTGCAATTATGTATGTTTCGGTACAAGGCGCTACTGAGTGAAGATGACATTCAATTTACGTCACCGAAGTCTCTCGAGTTATACAGGGTGTTTCACAACTAGTGTAGGTCCCTGAAATGGGGAGTAACTAACGTGATTCTGTATAAGATTTCCCTTTGCAAAAATGGGATTTGAAGCTTGGTTTTGGAATTATTAAGGAAAAACACGTGCCAATCAGAGCGCGAGGATTACGCGCGCTCAGCCACTAGGCTCGACGCTGTCGCTTTCACATCTGCGCATGCGTAATCCTCGCGCTCTGATTGGTCCGTGTTTTTCCTTAATAATTCGAAAACGAAGCTTAAAACCCCATTTTTGCAAAGGGAGATCTTATTTAGAATCACGTTAGTTACCTCCCATTTCAAGGTCCACGCGTGCACGGGAAGACGAAGTCGACCCGGGGCCGCTAAGCTACCAGCGAAACCGGTAGGGTTGATTTTTTAACCAGTTAACTGTGGCGCCCTCGTTTTAGAGCGCGCACCGTTTTGTGTCGCCAGAATCGAGCCATGACGAGTATACCCGTCAATCACAGAGTAAGTTGCGCTGGTAAGATATGGGATCAAAAAGATGGGTTTATTTTATAAAATTGACACTTTTATTACTAATGTATATTTATTTGGTTAACTTAAACATATATTACATACTTATTATATGAAAAACGCAATAAAGTTAAATGCATATGATAGACCATCCCTGAAGGGACCCTATCATAAATCAGCTTTCCGACTTTTGCTTTTGCTTTCCTTTCACGCTAACATCTAAAAAACGTTGTTGTCGCACATAAATAAATTCGTTGTGCGAACTGGTAAGCTGTTTCAGCCGGTGCATACGGGGATGCATGAGTTCATCTCAAATTATTTATATTTTTTATTTGTTTGTTTTATTCTGGCATGGCCTCAAAATATTCTAAACATCTTGAAATTTGAGAATATGTTTTGTTTTTCTCAAAAATTACAATTTAAATAGCCAATAGTCACTACTTTATACGCATGACGAGTATACTCGTCAATCACAGTTAACTGGTTAATAAGTGACTGTTCGATTCTATAAGAAAATTTGATAGAAATACGTGTAAGTAGCGAGGTTCCGAGTCTATGAACGCTGAAGCATTTTCGGACGTTATCGGTAACGTTCGTCAACAATCGAAGCTCCGGTATCGCGTTATCGCTCCGTCGGGTGCGCGACCGCGGAGCAGCTATTCATTCTCTCCTCAGCGACCGAGCGACTAACTTATAAGAGGCTTGTTTTCGTTATTCGAAATAAACTTGGTTGTATACTTCAAAATTAAATTGGTTACATTCTTACAATTTTTGCATTAATTATTTACGCCTCAAAAATCCTGTACACCCCTAAATGTCCATACAAAAGAAAACTAGCTCCACCATATAATTTGCCCCTTGAATATACGAATTTTATTTTTTAATTTAGATAGGAGATCCAGTATAAAGCTAGAGACAGAAAATAATGAAGTGATAGAGAAATGTTAATAATTAAGGAAAGATAAGAAATAACTTTTCAAGACAACTGTAGATAATCTATTTGAGATGAGCACCTTATGGTAATCTCGCATTTAGTACAGTCAAGATCAAATGTGGCCTCCCTTGCGAAAATAGGGTAACTGAGGGAGGACATTTTCCGTGCTCACTGATTTTTAGGGATTTTAGACGACTAATAGATTCAAGAATGGATTAAGAATTTGGGGTAAAGAGATTTTGCATGTCAGGATTTTGGATACGGGGATTTGGGATGTACGGATTTGGGTTGTAGGGATTTGGGATGTAGGGATTTGGGACGGAGGGATTTGGGATGGAGAGATTTGGGATGGAGGAATCGAGGATGCTAGGATAACAAATATAATGATTTGAGATTTCGAGATTTCGGAACGTAGAAATATCAGTCCATAGGAATCTCGGAACATGAGAATTTCGAAACGTAGGAATGTCAGTAGATAGGAATCTCAGAACATGAGAATTTTGGGACATAAGAATATTGACACATAGGAATCTCGGAACGTGGGAATTTCGAAACATATGAATTTCAGAATGCAGGGATTCCAAATATAAACATTCGATATATTTGAAAATCTTCAAGTTTCTTCAGTTTTGGTTACAAGTATTCAAGGTCTAATAATATAGGAATCTAAGGATTTACAAGTATAAACTTTAGAAAGCATAGCTTCTTGAAGACCTAGGGATTTGGTGTCCAAGAAATTTATAAATTGAGATACAATACGTATCTCAATTTTGGTACGATTTTGGTTACACTAATTTTTTTCTGTGCCTTATAGATCCGAAAACATTTAAGGTGCTAATAATTCGACTCCTTCTCTAAATATTAAAGAGGTTAATAAAATATTAAAATAACGTTTGGATTTTCACATGACGATATTTTGAATCATCGAAACTTTAGATTGTTTGGATTTTGACTGCTCGGCTTATAGGCGACGGGATGTTGGGGTGGACTGCCAGTTTAACGTGTAGTGTTATATTCTCAAAAAATTCTCAATATCGTGAAATCAACTGCGGAACAAAGAATAATGTATTTTCCCATCCAGAGTTTTGATGAAAGAGAATTCTAGAGACTTTGAGTTTGAATTGATAAGCTGACTTTTTGTATCATTTAGATTTAACGAATTTTTTATGACAAGTACTAAATTATATTCTGCCGTGATTGCGCAGTGATAAAACCAAGCATTACCTCGACATATAAAAAAACGACAAGCAAAACACTTTACTGCTAAGGTTTAAGGGTTTTGACAAGTAGATGTGACTAACAATAAATCAAAAAATACTCGCTAGAATATACTGACTCTTTGGATTTTATTGCTGCTATGGGTAAAGAACCATTGATTTGGAACTACAATTGTGTCTAAAAAGTGGAAAAACCGTTGAACTAGACTCCAATAGTGTCATACAATTCTTCAAATTCCAAATATGTAATATTTCAATTTTCGAAACTACTTGTATCTCACATTGAAATATTATTTCCGATAGTTTTTTAACTTTCATTGTAACATAATAAATTAATACGTTGTAATCGACATTATGTGTATCTAATATATTTATACTTCTTTTTTCCTCCTGGAACTGAATGCCTGTAAGAGTAATTGCGTCGGTACTTCAGTTATGGCTGACAATATGAACGCAAAAATGTAACTAAGTGCCCATACTGCGCAACCCGCTGTAGCCTAAAATGAAATAAATGTTTGTTATAAAAATCGGTATGTAGTTTTCGGGATATGACTGCTATTATCAACTTACATAGTAATAAATTCCAGCGTGGACAGCGTAATCGCTAAGTGCACCAAGTAGTAATGCGAAAATTGGATTCAGAAGATAAGCGCAATATACTACTCTACTGGGAGGGATCCAATAGGGCAACGATAAAAATTGATTTATAGTAGCTGCAAGAATAGCAAAATACTTTAGGAACTTTTCAACAAAGTATAATCAAATATGTATCGGTTATTACTTCTTTTTAACGGGTGAAATTGAAATAAAAATATAATATATAGTGTTTAATTAAAAAAGGCTGTAATCTTCGATTCCAATTACCAAACGAAGTAAGTATACAAATATTATTAGATATTGAAACTTTCCAGTTTCGAATATATGTATTTGAAAACACATATTTAATACGGTAATTATTTGCAAAATTTCTCAAATTTCAGTGACTTTAAAATGTGTCAGCGAGATCAATGTTCCAAGTAACTGCGTTTATGTTACTCGATCTAAATTTCTAAGTAATAAGTAAAAAGTAATAGATTCAATTAAATTTATGTGTGAATCTAACCGAAGTTTCTCCGAATATCTTATTGTTGATAGTTATAGTTCGGTGTCAGTCACCCGAATAGAGAAAAGTTCCGAGAATGTTGACCTTGACAATGCATTTCAAAGTCATCGAAATCGAAGGTGATTTTCTTTTTCGTGAAATAATAATTTACCTGCATTGTTCGTAAGGCAGACAATTACAAGCCACGCTACTGCAAGACTCCAGCTTAGTCTGCTAAACATTTCGTAAATGATCGTTAAAGTAGCAGACGTCGTTATCATCGCGGGGCCATGTATAACCAAATAAGCACATAAAATACTGATAAACCAACCGGCCGCTAATGCTTTCTGAAACAAATAATAGAGGTACATTAAAAATACCAGTTAAGTAATAAAAATTAAAATACTCAGTATTATACATATAAATACACTTAACATCATTCATGATAAAAAAGAATGTAATAATGTTTCTCATAGCACTATATGGGCTTAAAGTGAAACTTTTATGGTAGTATAATGTGCCATACTTCGTGTGATTACTCCCATTGCAAGCCAATATGTCAGTATATAAACGAGATTAATTACTTTTGATAAGTGCAATTTATAGTTCCATTTTTCAAGAAGCAGAGCTGTGCCTATTGCCACTATGTGAGGTATGATTCTTATCCAGGGTCGTATATAGATACACGAAAATGTTTCGAATCTCGATTCCAGTCTGCAAACATCACATATTATATTTTAATATTAACACTGAAACATAACTTGATTCATTGTTCATATGATAACACATATTTTGTATAACTTACGTTTTGATGTGACCCGTCGTATATGTTACGTAACCAGCGGACAACATGGATAGAATCAGCGTAACTATACCTAAGTTCACGGCAGAAGAGTAATGACTAAAATGTAAAATTTCATTGGCATTTGTGCAGTCAAAAGTAGGCAGAAAGAAAACATTTACCTGACCGACAGCTTCAATAAAAAGGCACAAAAAATAGAGAACTGCATTTCACAGGCAAGTTGCCAAGTCCAAGTCATGCACTGAAACAATTGTTTTCTTTAGTCGGTACTCTCTGTAAGATATATCGTATATTAACAAAATTATATCTACCAAACTGTCCCATTCAAATAAGTTATGAATGTAGAGGATATTTCTCCACCAGTATTTCAAGCACAGTTCGGGTATCGGCTCAACAACATATGCCATCAAAAAGTTGTTGTTCCAGGTAAAGATTAAAACTCCCAACATCATCGTAACGACATATGGTGGTGTAAGTCTGTTCAATTTTAATTCGAAAAATTTATATAAACAAAACATATGGGTAATTGTAAGTAGATATATTTGTGTGCAACATAGGCTTCTTTTGCTTTAGGAGTAACATGAGGCTACGAAGTTGCAAAGTTCCCTGTTCGTTTAACATACACTCATACTCATATATATACTACCTTTTCTCCGAAACAAAATATTCCAATATCACAAACAATGTATGGAACATTTAATTTCAGATTTGGTGCATTTTACCAAACTGTCATGTGAAAAATTCATGAAAGTAACTATAATAAGATATTGTCTTTTTAGTGTGAAGATGTTTGTTTTTCGCGTGAAAAATTTTGATGTGATCTAATTAAGAAGAAGCCCAATTTATATAAAATGAACGATGATGCGCTTTTCTGAAATTTTCATTTAGCACTTAATTAGTTTAAATAAACTTGTAATATTGGTCACCGATGAGCAACATGGCTAACGCGATAACTAGGGAAGCCTAAGCTGAACGCGATCATGTTACGATGATCGCTGGTGACAGAGGTACGTGCTATAATGTGGAATACCTGATTAATCTTTTGATGACTAGTATTAGAAAATCGTACGCATTCTGGCGAACTGTAACTATCTTCTTTCTTTTTCTTTGCGACTTAAAATGTCCAAATGCCAACAGAAAACCTGCAAGGAACAGGAAGGTATCCGCAGACCATACTGAATTCGCAATGAATTGATATTCCATTGAATTGTGCATTCGATATAATTCCCATTTGTTGCCTGTGTAGATGAAATATTGTCGCTAACAACTTACATCGGGAAGAGGAACGATTATATAGTTTTAATCTTTAATACGAAGAGCTGTCTCACCTATAACACTTAACGTAAAGTATACACCATGCAAGAACATCAGCCACGTCGATCCAAAAAATTTAATGCCATGAAACGCTGTTATATCTTCTGAACTGGACTTTAGTTGGAATATGTGCTTCATGTTCGATGTGATCGAAAAGGATACAAGAATTCGTTCGATGCAACCACCTGGCTCCAACTCTTCAATAGCCTTCTGATCATATTTCGGTTTTTGTTTCACTTCGTCTTTCAATTTTTTTTAAGTACATTGCATTCAGTATCGTGTTATGTTAATGTTATGTACCTAATATTTGTTCGGTTTGTTTACCTGGTTTTAACTTCTGAACTATATATGCTGGACAAGGTTCAGAATTGTGATCCATGTTTCCATTCAGATCTCCTTTTGAACATATTGTATTAAATACCACATTATTTATGTATATGTTAATTTTATAAAGAGATATTCCATAAATACGATTTAATATCCAAAACAACCGCGTCTTTTATTGTAAATGTTAGCAACTTCACGTTTAATCTAAATTGTGTTATCGTGGTCGCTGATAATAAAAACTTAAACATCAAGAAATACAGTAGAAATTACATATTGTAATGTTTAAGTCATATATCTAGTGTCATATACTGGCGAATTAATACTGTCTGCAAATATTTGCATAGGAAAATAAAAGTCTAGCAAACACAATAACTCCAGAATGACTACACATTAAATATGATCATTTGAACTTCAAAAGATTGCTAGTATACATCTGTGTATGTATCTATGTATTTACCCATCGTACTGCTCCCGTAGGAATTACATTTTTTCAATTTTTGCAGACGTTTCTGATATATAAAGATATCATACAGCGTTCCCGCTACTACTATTCCAAACAACGCTGCCAAAATAGCACTGCAAATAGAACATTCGTTATTCTATCTGTATTTAACTACTTATTTGCTAACTGTCAAAAGAAATTCCAAAGATTCGTTTAACGTAGCAACTCTCAATATAATACTTACATAATATATACTTATATACGTAATACGTACATGATTGTTATTATTTTGCCATTCAATAGCCACGTGTACTCGTTCTTTAGATTCGAGACTTTGATCAACTCAAAGTTGGTTGAATAAAGGTGTCCGAATGGATGGAGTTTATCGCGTATTTTATTTACCATTGTGGCTACTTCATCTTCGGTACAAGAATCGGGTAGGCAAAGCCCCAGTATCGTCACATTCTACAAAAGTGTCATTTCTCAAACTATTAGCTAAACCATTAACTATACGATTAACTGATAGTTTAGCACTTTTGAAATATCTTATGTGTCTGCTGATCATTCAACTTGTGTTTAGTTTAGATTATTTCAGATTTAAAGTAGCCATTCAAATCCTCGACTTACAGATTTATGACCAAGTTACTTGTGTGTATAATTAATAGAACACGATATCCTGCGGTACGATTCACTATGCAAATACTTACATCCGAACGCGTAGAGAAATCATACTGCATGGTGCCACGGTTTCGAAAATAAGCACCAAAGAAGTTGACCGTAAATGGCGGGAACTCGTCGGCTGGATTACGGTACAGAGAAATGTTCTTAGTTCTTTGGGATGAATATACTATTGGCTTTCTTGTGCGGAGATAATTGCATTGTCCTCTATTTCCTACCCAAAAATTATTCGCCGTAATGAATCCAGATGTTGGTTGGCCACTTGAGTCCAACACTTAAAAATAAAAGCATTCTATTGTTAACTTAAAACTAGTATTCTAACTAAGTCGAAAAATTTTTCGTTGCTACAGTACTCAAAGAAAAACGTCTCATTATAAATAATAAAAAACTGCTTCTAGCCACCAGTTTAGCATTTTTAAACACGTTTAAACATTCTAGAAAAATTCACAAACGCGTATATCATAGAGCAGATTATACCTGTTTTTTTTTTCAAAACTTGAGTATGGTACAACAAAAGATATAAAGCTGAAACTATAAATTGCATTTCGCCCTGTGACACCCTTCAAGTAGAGTTAACGGCTTGATACTACCCAACAATGATTTCCTGTGAACGGTCTACTAATTGATACGTTCATTGATTAATTCACCCCTTGTCGAAGAAAGCATATTACTAACTTGCCAGACTCCACAGTATTCTATGGTTTATTCCATCGCGATATTGTATCATGTCCGTTCGGCATTTGGTCGCATTGAGTTGTTCGATACCGTAGGTCACCACATAACCGGGTAAATTATCCAACATTGCTAAGTCTGATGTTATTCCGTCAATCAGTACGCAGAGATACATCAGCATTGTTATCCCGAACCACTTGTACTTCATGGTGTAAGTAACTTAGTATTTTAGTTGTTCAAGTGAAATTCACGTTTTTCGTTTGTCCATAGAGTTTGAGTAACGTCACTGAAGCTTGTTAACAGTTGGAGTATTTTACTTTTGGTATGGATCTGTGTTGAATCGAATAAGAATGTATGGTCACGGAAAGACCGATTCGCTGAAGAGCGGATCATAGAACTTAAATGAAGAATAAGCTGCCATTCAGGCTTTATATCACCAAAGTTGTTATGAACCTTATGTTTTACGTATATCTGTGCGTAAACTAATATAAAAGAGAAAAATTCGAGATATAAGCAAATATGTCCCCTTTTTTATGTATGAGCGTAGCGTGACGTGCGTTGAGTGAGCGGGGAGATAGTATTAACTTTATTTGCATTAGAAGATTCTTATAACCACGCACAATAAGAAACAAGAGCTGCAGTGAATGAACTTATTCAGGGTTTGTCGAAATCCTTCCACAATACTTATATCTTTTCAAAGATGTTTTGCTTGATATCATCATTGAATGAATCTTTAAAATACTATGATGCTTATTTATCTTCTCTTGATTTTCCTTCCATTCCATAAATATTAATGAAATACAAAAAATGAATTGGTAATGTAAAGTTGTTGGTAGTATAATCTATCTAGGGTGCCGAATGTATAAGTTGGTTGAAATGAAATATGCGTTGTCTTTTGTTTAACTCTTTCTTCTTGCTGTGTTCGGCTACCGGCGATGCACGCGCAACGTGCATCAGCGCGTCTTCAATTTATATCTATTAATTTATAGTAACATCCTAACATATTAATAAACATTATATATTTAATATTAACCAGCGTTAAACTCTGTCAAAAGTACTGGTTTTGTTACAGGTGATAAAGTGACTATGAGCGGGAAAAACTAAATGTAATCGTCAAACGGTTTTATATACTTTTGCAACTACGCATGTTTCGTTATGTAACCGTTCGTACGAGGTTACTCGCGTCGCGAACTGATCGCACGGATTTTTTAATTCCGTGCCACGAGGTCGTAAATCTCGTGACCCGTACGATTACGATTTTTACGAGCTGCTCTGCCGACTTAACTTTGGAGCAGTAGTTCAAAGCGAGTCCGAACGTTTGACTCGTGAAAATGATTAAGTCCGTAACGAATGACTTATTGCAAATTGTGTTCAGTTCGACTGCTAACTGTTTTCTCCGCGACGAATAATTTTGTTCTGATCTGTTCGAATGATAGATATGTTCAGCCTTAGCTCTCGATCGTGCGAGCTAAGGAGCCCTGGCGAAAGTTTTAGAAACACGTTGATTGGTCATCGTTCGATTTTTGATTTTCCAATCAACATGTCCCTTGACTTTCTCCCACCCTTTCGTTACGCCCTTAGCGCGTTTCTTTAGGAGGATGGGACGGTACCAGAGCGTACGTGAGAAATCCGCAAGTTCGGCAACGCCGTGGTTTTTCCTCTGGGTCTCAGGCCCGATGGCCGTAAAGTACCGTAACGAATGTACCGTCGAAATGACCCTTCAGAATTACCGAAGTTATGACAGGAATTGGCTATCGAGGACGAAACGAAACTAAAAATTTAACGCTGTTGTACGAAAAAAGGTAAATGAGTATTGCAGAAAGTAAGGAAAAAGTCTTTCTCAAAAATAGCCTTTGTCGCGGACCTATCATAAACTCTCCAAGCAGAATCCTCACGTACCGTGTTCCAATGGTTGGAACATGTTACAAGACGCTACTGAGTGAATATGACGTTTAATTTAGTGTAGGTCTCTGAAATGGGGGGTAGCTGACATGATTCTGAATAAGATTTCCCTTTGCAGAAATGGGATTTGAACCTTCGTTTTGGAATTATTAAGGAAAAACACGGGCCAATCAGAGCGCGAGGATTACGCGCGCTCAGCCACTAGGCTCAAAGCTGTCGTTCTCGCGTCTGCGCATGCGTCATCCTTGCGCTCTGATTGGTCCGTGTTTGTCCTTAATAATTCAAAAACGAAGCTTCAGACCCCATTTTTGCAAAGGGAAATCTTATTCAGAATCACGTTAGTTATCTCCCATTTCAGGGACCTACACTAATTGTGAGACACTCTGTATACAGTAAGTCGCAGCCACAATCGTATATCACATACACGAATACGTTTCCTCTTGTGAAAAAATACAGGGAAGATACAGTGGAATAAAATACCATAATTTGTTTATAACAAAAAATTTTTCATAACTTTATTTTACGATTCATTCAAATTTGTGTAATGACAAAAAATGAAGAAAATTTTATTCCAAATCCATTGACATATATGCATACAAAATTGCCTCCTACAGTTCGTCAGATTTTTATTACACATATAAATTACGCATGCGCACCTACTGACCCATCGCACGATAATAAACTGAATCATGTCGAAAAACATTACATAATTAGTCAACGTTACTTTTAAGCATAAATGAGGAACATCAATACGTGTGTTATACATAGCTATTAATTTTATTAAATTTGTATTGGGTATTACAGAACACTTATTGTTACAGTTATATGTATTCTATATGTCAATTTTATGGGGTTAATTTTGATGAGCCATTCGAATAAGTTAGATAATATAATCGCGACAATAATGGTATTTCTTAAAAATGTTTTCAATCTAATGGCTTTTGGTAATTACAATTGCATAATGACATAAAGAATTGTATGACAAAATCGAATTTAAAGACCAACTGCAAATTTGCAAATTCAAAAATGTTTTGTGTTCGTAACTGAACCTACTCAAATTATATGGTTACTTATTATATGCGCTCACCTAAATAAAATGATATGAATTATCATAACATTGCAATTGATTCACTCGTTTAAATAACCACTGTAAAAAACATCCAAGGTACAGTGGTGTTTAACATTTTTCAATTTACTTAAAAGAAAATGCTCATCACATCTGAAGGACGATATTCGGTATTGAAAATTACTGTCGTCACTGTGTACATATTTCGTTTCTGTATCGAGAACAAGACAGGCGACAACGCGAGACGTCCTTAACTTTGTGAAGTTAAATATTTGCTTCAAACACTTCCCGCTGTAAACTGTGTTTACTTAATTTTAGTAGCCACCGTACTCAATCACAAGCAAGAGAGTGATCCATCGATTTAACCTTAACACTTCGCCCTATAATATCTTACTCGTACTACAATTATCTAATGTGCTGTACACTACAGGTCGAATATAACAAACCACACTCGTATTTTCACTAGAACTACATGCCGCATTCACTTTCAGTTACAATCTGCACTAGATTCACTAAGTGCAAAGTATGCCTAATACTTTCACCTTAATTCGTTTTAATATTAGAACAGTAATTAGTAAACTGTGATGACGCAGCCGGCGAGAATGTTATAGGTTAAAAAGCTGAGCTACACGAATCTCTGTTCCAGGTTTGTCAACTTCACAGCTCGAAGCAACCTTTCATACATCCCATTCGCATCGGCTACAATTAGCCAACTCGGGTGTGGTCGTGCAATTTACACGTCTAGACAAGATGGGTCGTCGCCGGGTCGTATAGAGACAGCTACCGTCGCGAATACAATGCCCGTTGGTTTCGGGGATCGCGTGGAGACCCTTGTCTGCAATTACGGACCCCTCGATCGGAAGACACCGAGGGAACTCTACGAAGATGGTGTGCCAGCTCTTTGTCCACAGGGGACGATCCGTAGCTTGCGATACGCAGCACTTTGTCGTAAGTGTTTCCTCCCTTGTGTACGATGCGTTCAGGACACGCGCTCACGTTTCTTGTCACTCCCTCGCCACAGTCGTTAACCGCTTCCTGTAATTACAGTAAAGTCTCGATACACTTCGTTGCAATTCATTATATTTTCCAGTGGATATACTATTTAGTGCAGAAACAGTATGTTCTTTTTTTGACCATGGTTTGGATGTGTGCATTGTAAATTACGAGCATTAAACTGTTTGGGTATCTGAATATACCTGTTTCGATCTAAAAATTTCACTCTTATAAATTCTTTAGGAATTGTGAATACTTGTGCACAAAATATATAGTGGACGGCAAAAGTATTCGTACACTTGAAATATAGAAATAAAAGGATAATATTTTCTATGTTATTAAGTATATTTAATCATATAGCTGTATATTAAACATTACATTTACAGCCGAAGACAATAACATCATGTAATAACTTGAAATAACTTGAAATTCGTAATTGAGGATCGTCGAAGGCAATTAGCTTGTTATTATTTTACTTTTCACGATTTATGATAGGAATGGACTGTGTGAAGTCTGAACAAAAGGGCGATGGTAATCATTTGAGGTGACAGATGATGGGCATTGACTTGAAGTCAAATAACAATTAGACGTCACAGGACTATTTGTTCGAATGTGAGAGATTAGGGAAGGTAAGCAATCCATTATTATGATGTCTACATGAATAGAAATGTTGTTTCTAAAATATCTAACCACGAAATGGGGAAGTTTGCCGTCTGAAAACTAAGTATGACCTTTTAGCACTGACCCCAAAATGGTTCGAACATGAATACCAAAATTTGTAAAACACGCATATCAGTACATTATTGCGTAAACGTTCAGAAATCACTGTTTATAAGCTTATGTCAAACGTTAAAATCATTTTGACCCTCGGGGAAATAAAAGCAAAAGTAGAAATGTAAAGAGCTCTGTACATAGACTCACTGTACGATTATTCCTTTCCTGTAGAATATATAGTGCAATGTATGTAGATACATATTGAAGAGTCCATAGCAGCGCTGTGAATAACTCGGGTATCCGTTTTCATGTGCGCCACCTTCCGTTATGATAGAACGTTTAAGTAGACGATACAGTATGGCGTCAAACGTTCCACACGCACTTTGACCACCTCGATGCTTTCGTAAATGTTTAACCTTTTAATCGATACATAACATCGTTCAATTCTTACTTTTGTTAATGTACAAATTTGTATTAATCTTGTACGTTCCAGTAAAGTTTAAAGTGAATAAACGAATGTTCAGACTGAAAAATTCGATTATATCGAGATTTTACTGTATTTATATTTCTTCGTTGAGTAGAGTGATTTTGTGATATGTTATCATGGCTTAGTAGCCAAGTATTAGTAGTATTAGTAGTATTAGTAGTATTAGTAGTATTTGTAGTATTTGTAGTACTAGTAATATTTGTAGTACTAGTAGTCTTAGGAATATTAGGAATATTAACCATGTATTAGTAGTATTAGTAGTATATGTATTAGTAATATGCATTAGTAGTATTCTCAACAAATTTTCTTAATACATATTACCTCCAATCGACTTTCATGTTCGAAATATTAGTAAAAAGCATGAGTTAAGCTTTACATTGCAATTATACTTGCTGCTAACATAGGCAACATACATTTGTTTTATATAGTATAACTTATAATTTAATTCAGTAACTTAGTTACATAATCTACTTATCGATTAAATTAGTTTACATTGGATTAATACCCTCGTAACCTGAAATCTTTTTGTACAAAATTAAAATCATATAAATAGCGTCACTAGATTGTTGCATGACATTATTTGTAAATAGTTACAGTAATGTATTTCACGAGTCTGTTCAGAATTTATAGCTGTATTTTGATTATTATCCTAACTATTATCCTATATGTGCACCTTGCTAGAAGTACTAAAGGTGAAGTTATAATTATTGGCCACATGTAATGATTATGAAAAAATAATTGACTTCTCAATTGCACTAAAAGTGAGCGATGTAAATTGCATTATGTATGAAAGAAATGAAATTTGACAGAGAAAATTGAATATTTTCGTATTATTCGCGTTGTACAAAAATGAGAATTAAAAGTATCTTAAAATACTTACAAAAATTTTAAAACGCGTACAAAAATTCTTGGTTTAAACAATCGTATTTTTCTATTCAAAATGTTTCCTTTCTATCGAATACCCTGATTCCTATAAGTTTTTCTAAGAAATGAATTTAATCTATCACAAAAAACAGTTATTAACTGGAGAAGTTCTTGTCAAAAGTTACACGTTTTATGAATTATGCATTAATATTTTTCATTAATATTCATTTTACGTTCTTTTAAAATATTCAAATAGATTTTTGTATCTACCGATTCATTAATGAACACTAGTTTTCCAAGCTTGGATGAAAATATGCACTATAAACGGACTACGCCACCTCCAACTCTTTGCGCTCGAGCGACACCTCTCAGGCGCCAAAATTTGAAATAATTTGAAATAAGCATTATTTAACTAATTCTATAATAGTACTCGTGTATAAACATAGTGAAATAGACAATAGTAGAAATTATTAGTAGAGAAATAATAACCTCAAAAGAACTTATTCAACATTTTAATTAATAAGTTTTAAAATTGCTGTTTGCAAACAATAAAATTATCTTCGAGTGCAAAAGGTTAAATCGTGTCTTGTTTATCAAATCAGTTGTCATTTAATAGAAACTGCATCGTCGAAACAACATTGAAATATGTAACTAATGTCAATTTGCAAATTTCACTTTTGTGAAAACTAACTCCAAAATTGAAAAATTCTGTTCTGTATTTCTTTTTTATTTTTTCACAAGAAAAATTGTTTCCAATTTTCGATCCTCGAAGTTATTCGAATTATGTATATTTTCTTAATTAATTTTTAACTTTAATGAAATTAAACGGTTACAGTTAGAGAAATTGACACTTATCGGGTTGCAATTAATGAAATGGACAGTTATATGGTCGCATTTAAACGGATTGGCAGCTATTAAGTGGTATTCAGCTAAGTACTTACATCTGTTCTGATATCGGTACTTTTGGAGATATTCTAATATTTGTTTGTAATTTGATAATTATTAGTAATTACTAATATTTAAGTATTAGTTTACAGTATAAATTACTTATCAATTTAAGTAATAGACATAAAATATCATTTTATAAAAGATATTATTTTGGATATTATATAAAACAGAAAACAATTTTTTAATTACACTTTACACGAATAGTATAACTACTGCTGAAAAAATCATAGGATGCGCGTTATTCAATGTCAGCGGAAAAACAGATTTAGAGGATGAATCAACAATTAAAATTAGAGGTGTTAAACGTGGATTTAATTGTTTCATGTACAACACAATTTTTTTGCTTGAAACCAATCGCAAAATTTGTATCATCGAAATGAATGAAGAAGTATATTCAATTTTATTGTGTAGGGGTGAACTACCCCTAAAATACGATAACAATTAAAGTCCGCCTAATATATTAAAATACGTGTCAAAAATCTGGAAAAATATATATATCATGCGTTGGTAAAAAATTAAATTGATATAATTTAACGTTTTTATGGAAAATTTAAAAAACCAGTTATCTTTAATAAAATAATTTAAGATAAAATAAATTAATTAAAATAATGCATTTAATAGGTTTATAAATTATTTTGAAATTGTCATTTGCTTGATTGCATTATTTGATGCCACGTTTTGGTCGTTATGGAAGATAGCAATTATTAAATTATTGCTAGTATCATACATTTCAACATTGATTTCTGAAATACATTTAAAATACAAGAAGTGAAGTTAAAATTTATAAAGATTTCAAAAGTCAAATGACTTCGGTCTGTGCTCATATAATATTTAATAAAACGTTACTGTGAACTTTATAAAACATGCAGCACCGACTGTAATATTAGCCTATGTAAATATGCAAGAAGTCTACTGTTTTTTATACAAAGTGTAAACTTCAATGTTTACCATTATCATTTTCAGTGTATATAAAATATTATTACTCTATCAAAACTTTTGGTAATTCTATTATTTTGCAGTTTAAAAAAACACCTTATCTTCAACAGAGATAAATATTTATCCTCACGTATTAGTTTGATTAATTCTATATTAGTGAGGGAAATATATTTAATACTGAAAAGTTCTATGTTCAAGAAATACAAATTTTTTAAAAGTTCTTAATGTCTTTAAACTAAATTTTCACACAATTAAGAACATTTAACAATTAAAGGAACTAGCGAAAGAACACTTTCAACGTTCTTTTATTCCGCGAAACGAGCGTTCAAAAAAGTACATATCTTTCTTCAGAAGCGAAGTATACTTTCAAGAGAACCATCTCATAGTACAGAAAAGTTTAAAGTAACAATTACAATAAAATCAATATAGGTATCCAAATCTTGCAAGTTTCGAAAGTTACAAGTATTTTAAGACGTCTTAATTGTCTCGAAATTGAATAGAAATGAAATTGCTGTTTCTGAACAAAGGAGTGAACTTTATTATTTCCGTAGGACGTTAGTAGAAATGAATGACCGTTAAGGAACTTACTTTAAAATAAACATTTCAACACTCTTTACTTTAATAAATATTTAGTCCAATCTTTACCGATGTCCATCATGGAATATTTACCGTATTTTGTGCGCTTAATATGAATCTGCAAACAGTTCTTTTCAACCTTTATTTCCCCAAAAAATTGTATTTAAAAAGAATGCATGCATTTTGAATATAAATAGAATTGTGTATGTAGCTGTAAAATATATATTTAAATATATTCAAAGATTCATAAAGTCTAAAAATTCATAGTATCGATGTATTCGTAACGGTTGACAGAATTTTTTTATTCGAACAAAAGTTAAATATTTTGTATGATTATAAAAAGTCCATCATACAATTCGTTTTAGCAAAAAATGGGTATTAAAATAAATGTGTTTAGTGCCATCGATGAGCAGGTGTTTATTTAATTTTA